TGTCATTGCATTCACATGTTTTTGTTGCATAATCTTAATAAGAGGTCGCTTACTAAGTATTCTTAAAATACTCAAGCCTCATGCTACTATATTTTCAGATAAAGCAAGGCGCCCCTGTGGGATCGATGAAAGCATTGAAAATCCTGTGACTGTGGCACATGCATATGATAGATTTGCATTTCAAATTTAATAGTACAGGTTAGTATAAGACATTTCTTCCTTTGTTATTATTTTTTTTTTCGAGGTAATAAATGAGGCACAAGGTTAATTTTGCATTTATAAGAAGAGTCTCTTAAGGTATTTCCGCATTAAATAATATGTTAAAGGTATATTAATGACCTAAGGTTAAATAGGAAAAATTTATAGTCCGTTGATACTTATTCTTTTTGCTAGAATGTAACATTACTTTCTTAAAATTGATTTCCAAATGTTTTTTTAAAATTCTCTCTTCTCGTTCCTAAAACTTTTTCTCAAGAGTAGGACTAGAGGTTTGATTATACGTCTGCTCATGTTAACGACAACCTAAATTCTAATTGGTTGATTTACTCGAAGACGAAAGTAAGTGTCACACAATTAAGTAATGAATTTTAATAGAGTACGATTGTCACATAAGACATGCAAATCATACTAATCTACAAACGTTATTTTTGTTTTTATTTCATTATCTATTTAACTTGATTTAATTTAAATTTCATTTTCAAATTCGAAATAATATATTATAATACCTAATATATCATATATATATCTAATATATTTAAATATATTATTCAAACCATATTTAAATATTATAAAATATTTTAATATATAGTCCATTAATCTAATTTAATACTAATTAAATAAAAATTTATCCTTTTATATTTAATATACTAAGATGAGATATAAATAGATGGGAGAGATTAAATATTTTGTGATTCAATCGTATACAAACTAGATATCCTATTCAATAGGTTTCACTCGAACAATTTGGATTAAATCATTTGTAATAACTATACGGTAGGTCATATCAATAATGTTGAAAGTATGAGTCATCTAATCTTATCCATATTCTATAAACTCTTAAAGGTTATTTCTTGAATATGATCCTTCTCTATTAAGTACCTTCTCTGTTAAGATGTATGAAATTACAAAAATACATCTAGGACGAAATTTTGAGATGAATTCTATTTTTAATGTTTTATGTTGCGTTAAAAAGGAGAATGGACTATTGTGATCTATGCTCCGGGTGATTGATTGTTGTTATCTCCCCGTCTATGAAGTTTCTCGAGGCTAATCTAATCTCTAGGTGCACTTAGGTCTAGTCCTTTGATAACCACTTACGATCCTAGGGTATTCAGTGGAAACGTACTGACCTAGATCAATGTGAAAACTACTCTAGCTCTAGCGTTGTAATCTTAATTTGGCTCTCTCATGTATGCTTTATTAGAGGGATATTCTTATTGATCATTTAAAGCACAAAAGATAATCTAAACATTCATGCAAACTCAACATGAAGATAAGGAAGTTCTATGAAAGATAAGGAAGAACTTCTATGAAGAAATTGGGAGTTGAATATGCTGAGAACATCCCAACCAATATTTTTTTTCAACTCCAGTGAGAGTGTTGTTTTCGACGACATTCAACAACTTATAACTTAGGTTATAGACCATGAGAAGGTGTGAAATTATTCCTTAACTCTTCTAAGTACGGCGGAAGCAAAGTTTTAGAAGGGCTTGGTAATGACCATCAAGTCTTCTTCCCATGTTTTGGGAAAGAAGAAGATGACGTGGGCGGTTCAATTAAACTAGCCTTGCTAGCCCTAAACTGGATTCTCCCTCATTTTTTAAAATATTATATCCAAACCAGATCAATACTTAAGAACTTTTTTTATAGTTCTAGAAACTAGACCCAAAGATGAATCTACCAAAGAAAATTTAGAGTAATTTGAATATTGGAAGCTCGAGAACCAAGGACCTGAATGTGAATGATGAGGTAAGTAGCCAATTTAGACTTTTAGTTAAGAAATACTTACCGGCCTCATTTGAAATTCAAGATAAACCTTAAGTTAAGTAAAGAACTAGGGGATCATGAAAACATTTGGCTAAGAACCATGAGTTAAGACTCTGAACTAAGTAAATTACTTAAAATTTAAGTAATGTTAAAATAACCAGCTAAAGACCGTTGCCCATAAAATTTTAAAGTTGAGTAAAGTACGATATTTTAAGGGTATGTATGGTGGTCAATGGATAATGATAAATGGCTAACCCAAGAAATAGTCAAAATGACTAAAATGCCCCTATGACGATTTACCTTCGATTTAAGATTCAAATGACCTCTAAAGGATTTAGAGCAACATCATCCTCCCAAGTTCCAAATGGCTAACCCAAGAAATGGTTCTTCATCATCCTCCCAACTTCAACCATGCAAATATTTACTTCCCGAGCTTCAAATGGTTCTTTATCAATCATATCAGTTTGTAATACATGAAATGGAGGTTGAACCGAGTCTATCCAATTTTGTAGATGAAGAATTAATATTTTGTTGAATCTTCTTGCTCTTGGATCGTGTAATAGGTCATGTTGAAACATTTAGAATACCATGATCCTTATCATCTTCTCCTTGTTCAAAAGGATTCGTTCTCGAATCAGAAAAATTATCACCTAAACTAAAAGAACTCAAGTCAGCAATATTGAAAATAAAATGTACCAAAAAATCTCCTATAAGATCAATTTTATAGACATTATTATTAATTTTTCAAGAACTTGGTAAGGGTCATCATCTCATGGATGTAACTTTGTCTTCTTTTGAGATGAGAATCTCTCCTAGCGAAAATGTATCTAAACTCAGTCATAGAGTTGAAAAATGAGTTCCTTCCGTCCTTTTGTTAATTCTTGAAACAACTTTAGAATTTTATTTCTCAATTCTCTCCTTCATCTCTTATGGATCAAATTTGCCTTACTTTTGGCTACTTCACTCACAAAAATATTATAATGAATAGGAAGCAAATCAAGAGTCAAATTAAATCCATAAACAACTTTGAAACAAGAACAATGGGTGGTACTATAAATTGCTATATTATATTCGAACTCTACAAATAACAAACATTTGTTTCAAGACTTAATATTCTTAGAAATAATAGCTTAAGTAACGCTATTAACCACCTCAGTTTGCCCAAGGGGTGTACATGGTCCGAGTTGGGTCCGATTGGAGGATTTTTTCGACCCAACCCAAAAGTTCACGTTGGTTGGATTGGTAACCCAACCCAACCCAAAACTTTTCACGACCCAACCCAACCCTCTATTTTCGGGTTGGGGGTTGTCAAATTTTTTTTTAAGTTTTATTTATCCATAATTTATAATTATTCGGATACAATCTAAAATATATTAAAAGTTCACAAACAAACACAAATCGAACTATAATTATTGACAAAAAATAATAATAATAAATTAAAAAACAACGAGCGAGAATTGTAACATAGTTAAACATTGTCATAAAACTAAAGACAATTAAATACCAACAATTTTAAAAATTAGTTAAAATAACAAACCGATCATGAAATTAAGTAAACAATAAAAATGATTAGTTTAAGAGTATTGTATATAACAAAAATAAAAAATATATAAAAATATTTTAATTGAAATATGCTTATTTATATCTTACCTTAATCTATTAGAAAAATAAAAATATATATAAATTATGATACAATAAATAATAAATAAATATATTGTAATTTAAGATATGTTTTAAAATTATATATATATATAATTATTAAACATACGTATAAATTATAATTATTAAACATTTGTATTTAGGTATAAAATTTAGGTATTTTTAAAATATATGTATATAAAATAAACTTAACAAAAAAATAATAATAATAATAAAAAAATATAAAAAAATTATACAAAATGTATATATATATATATAAGAAATTAAAAATAAAAAAATAATATAAACAAAACAAAGAAATTAAAAATAAAAACAAAAATATGCATTTGGCAAGGGTTGAACTCAGACGTGAGTGTCTGGCAAACCCGGTAATACATCAGTATTCTTAATATATTTTATATATTTTTATTTGTCTCGGGTCAACTCGAAGGTTTTACCCATGAACCCGAAATCGAACCGATTCAGTTCAGATTCAAAAAAATGAACTCAACCTACCCGAAATGCTAATCCAACCCAACCCAACCTTTATAGTTCGGGTTGGGTTGGTCTGGGTTATTGGGTTGGTCCGAGTTGTTGGGTTGCTGGGTTGAATGTTCACCCCTAATTTTCCCATCACGATAACATGTAGTTGAAAACAACAATTTGGTACCCAATTTACCTCATAATATTTTCCAAAAATGGCTTAAAAATTTAACATTTCTATCCTAACAATAGTTCTGGAATTCCATGTAACTTTACTATTTTCTTACCGTCAACAATATGCTTTGCATCATAGGTTTTGTTGCATGCAATAAAATGAGTCATTTTATTAAATCGGTATACAACAACAAGAAGACAATCTTTAGTATGCGGCAAACCAAGAACAAAATGGGTGTGTTTGCTCCATTTTATAGCATATGGAAATGCATGGCTTTGTCTCACTTTCTTCCGTCCATTTTTACTCCATACAAATTTCATCTAAATTGTGGACGGATTCGAGCGGATTGATAATTGTTTTAAGTAAACTCTCCGAATGTCGAATCTTCTACTCATAAAAGAAAATCTAAACTAAAATCGTGTTCTTTCTGTGAGTGAAGGTAGTTGAGTATTTAACTCGAGTTTAGGCATGTAAAAACCAGCTTAGTACCACAGAGAAACGATCTTTCTCGACTCCATGAAACGAAACGAGCTTGGTTTTGATTTATTTAGTGTTCGATCCACTCGAAATTAATTTTGGTTGAATTTTGTTAAAATTTAATGAAATTAAAATATATGGAAAAGGAAAAAAAAAAGAATTATATTCTAAATCTCATTCTACTAGTGGAGGCCCAATTTCAATCCATGGGCTTTCCTTCTGAAAATCCAATATCCGAAACCCCCAATTTTGTTTCTACTTCTTTTCCAGTGACGGGGGATTTTGGGGAGGTTTTAGGGTTCGTAATTCACAGAATTCAGTCGGAAATGGCAGCTTCAGTTGCGCTCAGATCGTCGTGTCTTCGAGCAATTTCTAGAATATCCACCGCTTCCTCCGCTAGAAATGTTTCCGTTTCATCGGCGCTTCCTTCGGTGCGCTCAAGTTTCGTATCTCGAAGAATTTCAATCTCCCCTCACTCTCTAAGGTTGCTGCTTTGCTTCTTTAGATTCATCTTCTTGTTTTGATGTTACTTTTTTTTTTTTCTCTCTTAAATTTCATTCTGATGCGATTTTTTAGGTTGTTGCGACGAGAATTGAGCTCTCTTCGACCTATTCATAGCGCAATTGCCTCCGCTTGCCTTGTTTCTGAGCTGCCCGCCGAAGCTAGCGCCTCCGTACAAGGTTAATCCTCTTCTGTTTCTTGCTTCCTAATCTCATTGCTTTTTTATTTTTCCAGTTGATTTCAGTCGCATTGAATTTTAGTACTAGTTAACTATATTAAGTTATAGAAATAGTTCCTCGGAATGTATGTTGGTGCAGCCAAAAAAAATTAGGCCTCGATAGCTTGCCAATTAAAATCGATTTCCATGCTACCATACCACCGTTCAGTTAGCTGAAACGTGGAATTTCATTATTTGGTATTGAGTACATTTTAGGATACAGAATGATAAGAAAAGGTACAATCGCACAAAAGTATTTTCAATTTCTATTTTACTGCTTCCTATCAAAATGGTCGAGGATCTCGATTATAGAAAGTACAAAAGATGCGCTGTTCATTTTGTGAGTTTTGTGATCGGAAGTGAGGAGCTATCTGGATTAGGGTGTACTGTCTACAATGTAACCATGATCATGTTCAGCATCCTGGATGTGATAGAAATTATGCCCTGCGTAATGTTTATCATGTACTGAATGTGGACCAAACGAGAGGAAAGTGGTCAATGCTGGTGAATGATTGTCAGGAATAAAATCAGAGGGTGTTCTTTAGAGTGTACAAATGTCAATTTTCATGAGATCTTAATGTTTCCCTGTTTTATGACTTGTAAAATAACTCTGCAAGTTGGTTCAAATAGATTACTTATGTGTGACTTCTCTAAAATGATGAAAATTAATGACTTCCATGTTATCAGTCTGATGGAACCTCATGTTCTTCATCTCTTTGGCCCCTTGAAGCATCCTGTCTGCACGATTATGTTGAGTACTGAACTCAGTCTTTTTCTCATGGCTCTCTTGGGAGTAAATCCTTTAGATAATTGATGCAATAAAATAGTCTCTTCCGTCTGTCAATGTTCTTATTAACTCATTTCTAGTGAATTTGACTCCGAAAAATTACTTACTGTTCGTTCATTTATTGGAACTGAACTTGAAAGAAGTCTCCCTCCAAACAACCTCATAATTTGGATGAGATGCCTGATAAAGGCTGCAAGTTTTGGGTGAAGTTATATAGTTGGAAACAAGTGAAAATGCAATTCCAGAGAAATTATTCCCTTCTGTCTCCTTATTAAGAACTGACCATTAAGGTTGGAAGCGAAGAAGCATCTTCTTTGAGTATGCTTGTTCCTGTTCATCTTTGTAATTAGCAGACCAAGGAAATGAACCAATTTCATTAGGATTGAAGTTCTATATGCTTAAATATTAGATTCAGGAAGCTAGTGAAAGTCTTTAGCTGCCATGACATGCCTCACTCTATTATTGCTTCTCTTGAATATTGTACGGGTTGCAGTTCCCTTTTACCACAGCATTTATTTTTTACAAATTCAAAGAATGGGACTATTATTTGACCTGGGAATCTCTACATGTATGATAAAAGTGGAATGGCCTCACGAAATAAAATTGACAAATTTCAAAAGAGGGGAATTAGATAGACATACTAATGAAGTATTACCATGCCCTTAACTTTCTGCTACATGGTTACAGTTCTGAATTACTTATAAATCTTGCAACTGTTATTTAATAGTGTGATTTTGACCATGGTTCCTTGCTTCAGTATATCAGTTATTGACTTAAATTTTTTGGTGCACATCTGCTGAGATAGATATGTATAAGCCAATGCTTTGACACATCTTCCCGAACTTGATGACAGGTAGATTTGTGAACTATCTGAGCCCTATCTAGCACCAAATGCTTATAGAAATGAGCAGTTTCCTTCTTGTGTATTAGATTGCCAGCATCATCACTTCATAACGTCTTTAGCTGTTGAGTATGAAGACATGGTTTCTTTGGTTCCTCTAGTTGATTTTACTCGATTAAGTATATTTATGTTACATCAAGCAGCCATTTTTGATATAACTTAGTAGGCCTCGTTTTATCATTGTGTTGTTCTGAACACCGGGTGATTACCCCATAATTGATCAAATTTCCTACCAGGCTAGTGATACAACTATTTTCAGATAGAGACTGGTTTAATTTCAAAGTTAGAATGTAAATGTGTTGAAATTAGGCAGTTGATTTATACCCAATACACAAGATTACAATTAATTTAAATTATTCTGGATGGTTATTGGGCAAATAGTAAATGACTTTAGATGGAACAAGTTCATGCGGAGGCTCATTGGTAGCAGATCTTGTTCTCTTTGGGGTTTCCCTTTTGGACTTACTCTCTAGGTTTTTAAAACACTAGAGTGAGGTTTTTACACACTTATAAAGAATGTTTTGTTCTCCTCTCTTACAAGTTCAAACTTTGGTACTACGCCATGAGTTTTCTTAATAATGAGATATTGTAGGATTTTACGATTGTCTTGTAAAGCTAGTCAAAGTGCACACAAACTAGAATGCTTTTGAAGATAAGCTAGTCAAAGTGCACACAAACTAGAATGCTTTTGAAGATAAGCTAGTCAAAGTGCACACGAACTAGAATGCTTTTGAAGATTGGGTCGGATGAATCAAACAATTTATGATACATTGTATCAATTAAGATTTTAAACTCTAGTGATTCTACTTTATGATACATAATTGCTCTTGGTGATTCTACTTTTAAATTGTTAGATAGATGTATAGTGTGAAAGACTGTTTTAAATGTATGGATTAATATAGTGTTATAGAGATTGATTTAATGTATGGATTAAAATAGTATTATAGAAAATGGTTGAAATCAAGTAAATAGCTTATCTAATTATTTATATGTCATCATCTTGGTCTTCTATTCTTCTCTTCTTATTTAGGTAAAAGCTTCGGTTTCTCTTGTTTGTTTTATTCCTTAAATTATGGAAGCCTGATGAAATTCAGCCATTGTTAATGTCATCTTGAAAGCATCTTAATTAGAAAACATTACAAAAATTAAAATAATCCTTTTCCCCCTTTTTTTCTTTTAGCCATCGTCTATTGCTTTAACGTATTCTTTCTAATAATAATAATAATAATAAAAATAAAAGTTGGATTGTTTGGTTTCTTTCACTAATGGGTGATAATGCCCATTAATCACCGAGTCAGACCCGATTATTTGAAGAATAAATTGATTGGACTCATAATTAAGTTTAGTTCATACTAGATGAGTTGAAATTTAATTTAGATAGTTTATCGATATATTCGATATTTACCTTATTGGTTGTGACTTATTAAGTATAGAGAATTTTCCGTAAAAATAAGAATTGAAATAAGAGGTAAGAACGAGTATGGAGAACGCTTCTCCATTCCTGTCTTCTTCGTATGAGTTGACCACAACAATTTAAAATGGTTAAATATCCATTTGCACGGAATTATTAGAATGAGACGGAATTAACTTGAAAGTTCAATTTTTAGACTGAGAAAGAGAATATAATGTGATATTGGAATTTTAAGTGTCATTTTCTTGTGTCAAATTTATTAAATAAAATTACTTTACCAATTTTATAAATACCCTTCTGTTGTCCGTTGATTTTATTTTAATAAAGAGACCAATTTGATTGACTTTAAAGAATTATCATTTAATTGTTGATGAGAGGAAACTTCTTCATTTTAAAAAAAATATATATATAAAAACATTAAATTGAGTGGCGTAAACACTTAGAAATAAAATATACAAAAGGTTATGGTTAATAATAAGATTTTGAAGTTATTTAAAATTATTCAAATTGTTATTTATTGTTTCAAATATTTTTTTATGAATATTTTAATTTTCACAAGTCCAAGTCCAACTTTTTTATTCTTGCATGTTATTAACATTCTTTTGATGCTTTCAAGAGTTTACTTTACATGTTGTTAACAACCTTCTTTTAAGATTGAACGGCAAACAATTTAATCTCTATTTATAATTTTGTTTAATTTAGAAGATTAACATTTTACCAGGATAATCATATACGACTCAATCTTAATCTAGCACTAGATCATAAGAATGAGTTGTTATTGTTATGAACTCCTGTTGATGGGTCTTATCCTTTGACTTAATGGGTGAGAAGGACTTTTTGTAACCGTTTCAATGTGCCTACAATTTTGGGAAATTGATCAAATAGAGAATTGGGGATATAATCTTACGGGATGAAATTCTTGCATTCCTGTATGGAGCAAGCAGATGAATAGTTCCCTTGCGTGCTAATTTCAAGACTTAAACAATGAGGTCTCACCCTCTCATTGTCGAGAGGGATTTAGTTTATGCTTGGACTGTGAGATCCCATATTGGTTGGGGGAGGAGAATGAAACACCCATTATAAAGGTTTTGAAATCTCTCTCTAGCAGACACATTTTAAAAACCTTGAGGGGAAGCCCGAAAGGGAAAGCCCAAAGAGAAAAATATCTACTAGTAGTAGGCTTAGGCTGTTACAAATGGTATCAGAGCATGAGGCGGTGTGTAAGTAAGGACGCTTGGCCCCAGGGGTAGACACGAGACGGTGTGTCAGTAAGGATGCTTGACGAAAGGAACGAGTGTCGACAAGGACGTTGGGACCCAAAGGGGGGAGATCCCACATCAGCTTTGGGCTGTGGATTTGGTGGGGATCCCACATCGATCAGAGAAAGGAACGAGTGTCAGCTAGGACGTTGGAACCCGAAGGAGGTAGATTGTGAGATCTCACATCAGTTGGAGAGGGGAATCAAACACTCTTTATAAGGGTGTGGAAACCTCTCCCTAGTAGACGCGGGATCCGAAGGGGGTAGATTGTGGAAACCTCTCCCTAGCAAACGCGGGATCAGAAGGGGGTAGATTGACACTCTTTATAAGAGTGTGGAAACCTCTCCCTAGCAGACGCGTTTTAAAAACATTGAGGGGAAGTTCAAAAGGGAAAGCCCCAAAAAAGACAATATTTGTTAGCAGTGGGATTGAGCTATTATAACAATCCTAAATTTCTACATACTCGGAGTCGCTACAAATGTCTCATGCTCACTTCTTATGTGGAAATATAACTCTTAAAAGAAAACATCATCTATAGTATAAATGTCGAAAACATTTATAACCTCTTTCTTTGAAAAATACAGTCATGGTCTTACTTGTTTAAATATGAAATACTGAAATTTAGAAAATAAAAACAAATACAAAATAACTTAAAACGATGAACTACAAAACAACCTATTATAACCTAAGACTATGCTCATTTATTATGCCACAGTCTCTACTTGCGATGTTGTCATCCTCCGTACAGGTGCGTCTTATCTTCATCTGAAAAATGATGTGGCACACGGCCTGGGTATTTCGAAGAATACTCAGTAAGTGTCCCTACTACAAGGGGTCATGCAGATGCAAACACATACAATCATGCTCTTGGGACCTATCTCTATCTCATTTAGGGGTGACCTCCAGTCTCGGACTAATATGGTTGTGTAGTACTTCCCTACACACGACCCACACGTGTGAGTGTGCATCCCTAGAGGGCTCGTACGCCCCCTGGACCCTTTCTGGTTAAGCTACTCTGTAGAAACTTCTAGAGATCAGCGGAACCCCTGATGTCATGCTCCTCATGATCACTCTGCTCATCATCATACTGTGCGCGTAGGGGAAGTATCCCTATGCTTATGAACATACAACATGCATGAGTTCCCTCTAATTTCCATCTTATCATCTATTATGACACAACGCTCTCGTCTCATCTCTTTGTTACATTAAGTAACACATGATTGTTGGATATTTATATTAATATCATTTTCATGCTCTTAGGGTTATATCCTATGTTAGTCTATCGACCTGATGCAATATGACACTCATCATCATATAGCATGCTTAATACATAAAACATCAACATATGAAGACAAACGTCATGCAATCATCATACTCATCATATCGCTATAAGTGCAGCAAGCATATCAAGTACGTCATACATCGAAATATATATATTACGCACATCATCATGCATCATAACTTATACATCATCATACGATACAACTCATACATCATCATAGCTCATTAGCCTATCCTACAGTAAGACCACTTACTTGGTTGACCTTAACCAAGTAATCCCTAATTTAATAAATGTAAGCTCCTGTTCCTCGGGAGCTGCTCCAAAGGTTTTCAGGGTTCACTTCGTATGCACTATTTGTCACTTTTCATTAGTACTTCACATTTGAATTAATAATCTAAGTAATAATGTTAAATAGGACTCTAAAACGGTCTCAATTACCTTAATCAGGACCAAAAACAGGTTGGGGAGGGTTGAAATGTTGAAAATCGGGTAAAAAATTAAAAATCGAGTCGTATACGTCGAGGAAGCCGCTCAAAACCGAAGGGCTACTTGCGTAGCAGCTTGACACGTGGCAGCACCTAAGCGGGTTGAGTCGGGTCGAGGCGCTATTGTTTGGGCTACGGTTTTGGGCTTACTGGGCTGAGGTAAGTGGGCCTCAGCTCTCGGGTTTGTAGGTGGGTTGCATGCGATCCAGGGCGTGGGTCGCGGGTATTGCAAACACGCGTCGTGGGATAAGGCTATGTAGGGCCGCTACGGTTTGGGTTGCAAGTGTGGGCCTAGGGGTCGCTATGGAATTGGGCTGAGCCGACACGGTTTGAGTCGCGGGTATTTGATTCGGGTCTGACCCAGATCCGTCGGATCTCTTCTTCCTTACCTGATTCGTGTGCAATTTTCTGGCCAACTTTCTATCTCCTTCCTACGTTTTACTTATTTAGGGGTCGCTACGGTTCGTAGGAAGTGGCATAGATTTAGTTGGCCACTCTTCTGCCATTTTTAGGATAAGTTAGATATTTAAATAGGTAAATCTCTCCAGAAGAGATAGACACCTCATTTTAATCAAAAGTCTTCCGCAATTCTCTCTCGGTTATTATTTTTCGCATCTTTATTTTCTTCGAACAACTTCCTGTCAAACGATTTCCTCTCACCGAAAAGAATTTCAGTTGCGATTATCTTATCAATTGTCTAAAAACAACACCTACAACATTTTTTACACCTTTTCTCTCATTTTTGTCCCTCTATCTCTATTAAGAGGATATTTTGAAGATATATTAGTTAAAATATATCTGACATATTTAGGGAGTTGTTAGTATAAATTTGATTAATGGTGTATTTTA